TCTGTGGTGCCTCCAAGGCAGAGGTACCAGCTGCTTTGACTGGTACTCAGGTGCCTTGGAAGCTGCAGTTTAAACTCTGCTTCATCTGCAAGTTGGGATTTGCAGCAAGGGCCTTGAGTGGAACAGTGTCCTGGAAATACAGATGAGCGGCCTGCTGTCAGAATAGAACAGGAGTTTCAGAATCGAGGTTTCCCCCTAACTCTGGGTGTGCTTTGCAGGCAAGGCTCCAGAAAAGGCAGGCAGCTCCACAGAGAACCTGCTGCCAGGGTTCCAGCCCGCTGCCCCCACGGATGCCTTCGGTGGCTCCTCCTTCCCTGCTGGGCCAGGTGAGTCTGGGAGCATGGGCAGCCTGGGAGGGCAGCTCCTGGCCAGAACCTCCTTGAAGGGGAAGGAAAATGCTGCAAACAGAGTGTAGGGGCACTGAGAGCTGCAGGGAACAGGGCTGGCACTCGAGGAGAGGGGGAAATGCCACAGCTGGGTGGCAGAGACTGTGTGGAGGCAGAGGTGGGGCTTGTGGTGAGCGAAGAAACTGAGCCCTGAGTTGCCAAGGAAGCTCCTTGTGTGTGGAGGTTCCATGGGGCTCCTAACAAGGAGTAGAGCCTGCCCTGTGCAGTGAGGGAGCTGGCTGGGAGGTGTTGGTCAGAGCTGCTGCTCTGTGTGGAGGAGCAGAGACACAAGGGTCACTCCTCTGCTGCAGGGTGAGGAGAGCACAGCCCCATAACTGACATGGGCAGCGATGGAGGCAGCGATTTCTGCCCTGCCTGGGCTGTGTGGCTCCACCTTGGCTGCTCTGAGGAGTTTCTGTGCCTGTGGGCCTTGTCTGGCTCTCCTTTGGCCCTTGTGTCCCGGGGTTTGCTGTGAGCAGCCCTGCTATGCCAGACAGCCCTGGTGAGCGCTGCTGCTCATTCCCACTCCGTGAGCATCCGCTCTCCCTGGGGGCAGCTCAGACCCCCAGGCACAGGTGGGAAGCTGCTTCCAGAGCTCCAGGAGCCAGGGATCCTGCCCTGGTGACAATGCTCCTTCTGGAACAGAGCAGCCCTTGGTGAGAGGAGTCTGGGATGAAGAATCCTTTATGGGGCAAGGAGGGACAAATCCATTTGTGCTTATTTCTATTTATAAAAGGAGATTTAGGGGAGCTTATAACTGAGCCTGGTGTGTTGGTTCTTACCAGAGAGTTAAGGAGTTGGAGTCCCTGACACAGGAGTGCTCCTGGGGAGTTGCTTTCTCTGTGAGCAGTTTCTGCTGTTCCATCAGCCTGTGTGGGTGATGCTGAGCAGCAGCAGCTCCACATTGAGCTGTGAAATACCTTCTGCAAAGCCTGAGGAGCATCTGTGTGCTCTGTGGTGCTGTACCACGGTCAGCTCTGCAGTGTCTGTGTTCAAAATGTGCCCCTTGGCTTCCCAGTGCTGGGCTTGGCATGGGAAGGAGCCTTGGGAATCTGGGCTGGGCACTTGAGCCCTTCTGTCTTTGCCCAGAGACAGGAGCCTGTCCCAGCCTGGCTGCTGGGATAGATTTTATTGCACACTCTGTGTCCTTTGTGGAACCTTTCACCTTTTGTGCTGCTGTGGAGGCAGATAACAGTTCTTCCCCGCCAGGAAACGTTCTGAGATCTGTGGGTCAAACTGTGTTGGAGAGCTGCATGGCAACAGTGGTTTTGTTTGGGTTTTTATTGTTTTCAGTGGCACACTTGGTCAGAGTGTGGCTGTGCTGGGGTTTGTTCTGTGCTTTCTCCTTTTCTCTGTTCACTCTGCCTTTTCTTTTCCTTTCCTTTCCTTTCCTCTTCTCTACCAGCTGAAAAAACGAAAGACATTCTGAGCTTGGACTCTAGCCCTGCTCTGCTGACTGTGCCTGATCCTTTCACTCCTCTCCCGTTATCTGACACCCCAGGTAACCCGAGCTGGGGGACGAGGGGACACTCCTGCCCTTTGTTCTCTGGATCTCCTGCCTCTGTGCAGGCACGCGTGAGATGCTGGGCACTGCTGGCACTGCTGGCACTGCCAGGCTCTGCCGGGCTCTGCCGGGCTCTGCTGGCACTGCTGGCACTGCCAGGCTCTCTGCACTGGGGGTGGTTTCCATGGCAGGGCTGGGTGTCCTTGGGGCTCAGCATCCCCAAAGGGATGGCAGGGCTGGAGCAATGTCCTGGAGGAAAGCTGAGAGCTGGAGTTGTTCAGTCTGGAGCAGGGGGGGCTCCAGGGACCCCTCAGAGCCCAAAAGGGTCCAGGAGAGCTGGGGACAAGGGATGGAGGGGCAGGACCCAGGGAACAGCTCCCAGTGCAGAGGGCAGGGATGGGTGAGATGTTGGGAATTGGGAATTGTGCCCTGAGGGTGCCCACCCTGATCCCAGCAGTGCCCAAGGGAGAAAGGAAGGCTCCAGGGGAGCTTCCAGCACATTCCAGAGCCTAAAGGGCTCCAGGAGAGCTGGGGACAAGGGATGGAGGGGCAGGACCCAGGGAACAGCTCCCATTGCCAGAGGGCAGGGATGGGTGGGATGGATGGGAGATTGGGAATTGTGCCCTGAGGGTGCCCACCCTGGATGCCAGCCGTGCCCAAGGCCAGGCTGGAGCAGCTGGGGCAGTGGGAGGTGTCCCTGCCAAGGCAGGGTGGGATGCAATGATGGTGGGATGGCTTTGAGGTCCCTCCCAACACAAACCATTCCAGGATCCTGTGAGAAATAATCCCCAGGTGATTAATTACCTGCTTCTGGCTTAAGCTGTTTTCAAATGGCTCCCAACCATGAAATTGTAGGTTTTATTACTGTTAATCTTTCTTTCCTCTAAGAGTCAGTGTTTCTTTGGCTTCCAAAGTCTGTTGCAAATGTGAGCATCTTGAGAAGCACAAGTTCCATGTGACCTTTTCTGATTTGGCAAGGTTTTGCAGTGCAGTTGGTGCTATTTCATTTACTTTGCAGTGCTGCTTCTGAGCCTTTTCTGTGCACATTTCTGACTGCAGCAGCCAACACTTTTTAGCACAGATTATGTAAGGGCTTAGGAGCTCATTTGCAAATCGGTGGGATTTGGAATGTGGGGATGTTTTTATCCTGCAGCCTCTCTCTGTGAAGGTGTGAGCAGGTCCCAGTGTGAGCCCCAGAGCACAACTGCAGCTCCCATCCTCATCCTCAGCCTGGCTCTGGGCCACTGCTGCTTTGGAGCACCCAAAAAAGACAATTTCATGTGTTTGTTCTTGAATATTTCCAAGGCCTGGGGCTGCAGAGTTTCCTTGGCTTGGAAGCTGAGAGGGTCTGTGTGTAAATTCAGCAGAAGGGATCAAACTCCTGGATTGGAGCTCAGGTTCTCACCTGGCTAAAGCTCAGCTCAGGCCAAACCACCTCCCCTTGGCACCTGGAGGTGCAGGTGGCATCACCTGAGTGCCCGCCACACCTTGCAGGGCTGCTGTTGCTGTGTCCCTCCTCTTCCTCCCCTGTGTAACGGCTGCAGTTCTTAATGGAATTGTAATGAGGAAGAGGAGCTGGCAAGAGGGATGTAAAAATATGGCAAAACATCTGTTAAAACAAGGGAGAATTAAATATTCATGCTGAAAACATATTTCCTTGTGTATGGGCAGGAAAATGAGCCAAGTTGTTGTTAATGAGCTTATTTCAGGCTTCAGCACTGCCTGATCTGGGCTGTTGGTCAGGGCAGCTCTCTGTGGGTCACTGGCTGATGCAGGGAGGGTATTTCATTTTTCTGGGAGCAGAACACTGGATGAGATGCTTTTAATCACCATAACTCTACTCCAGCCCATAAATTCTGAGGAGATAACTGGGTGCCCAGCTCTGCCTGGGTGTTGAGGACAGCTGCAATAAACAACTGTATTGCTGCTGAGGATTTATTTGCACCAAGATGACACATTGAGATAAAGTAATTGCACATGCTCAATTAGGCATGCACAGCAGCTGTGGGTGTGCACTAATGATCTGAGCTTGCATCTTGAGTTGGGGAGATGCAAAAGGGCAACTGCTCATGTGGGAGCTGATGGATTCATGGCTGTATTTACTGGGAGGACAAGGTGGGGGTGTGATGATTTAAAGCAGCAAAGCCAGCAGACCACGAGAATCCAGCTAGATGAGTGTAAAGAGCATCCAGTGTTCTCCTCCTGGGCTTTCAGTTTGAGCTTAGGGGAGAATTTACTGCTTTACAAATATTTGAGGTCTTGAACGTGAGCCTGAAATTGCTTGGTTTTGCTCTCTTAAGGAGCCACTGTTTGTCACTGTTTAAAAAGAAATGACACAGAGTTATGAGAGGCTGAGTGGCCCAAGGGCCTCAGTGTGCACTGAGCTGCTCCTTTTGTACACTGGCCTGATGCAGGTGGGCCTGAGTGGTCATTTACTCAATGCATTGCACTGGAAAGAATAATTATCAATATGATTGGTCATTTACTCAGTGCATTTCACCTGAAAGAATAATTATCAATATGATTGATCATTTACTCAATGCATTTCACCTGATAGAATAATTATCAATATGATTGGTCATTTACTCAATGCATTGCACCTGAAAGAATAATTAACAAGATGTCCATTTGTAAACAATCTTGGAGAATAACAAGAAAACAGATACCAGGAAAACAACACTTTTTAGTGTTTATTATAATTGTTTATTATTTATTTATATTATTTATATATATTATTTATATTTATTTATAATAATATTATTTATTATAATATTATTATAAGTGTTTATTATTAGGCTGTTTATTATAATTGGCTATCATAGTTTATCTCCAGCCCCCTGAAGTCTCCCAGGCCCGTTGTGGGAGAGCTTTTTCAGCTTTCTCTCTCTGAGCAGGGTCCCACATGCAGAGCTGCTGGGTGCTGTCCTGTTGGCTCTGTGGTGTTTGCAGAGCCCCAGTTCCCTTTCCCTGCATTCCCCTCCTCTCCCTGCCGTGCTGTGTGAGAGCCAGCCCCGTTTGCCCAGGCAGAGGGGAGCAGGGCATTTCCCTGGGCAGGTGCAGGGGCTGGGCAGCAGGCAGGGCTGCTGTGCCTGCTCAGGCTCCACCGGCCCTGGCAGAGCCCCGGGCAGTGCCCGCCCCTGCCCTGGCAGGGTTTTCACGGCCGTGTTCTCTCCCCCAGCTGCCCCCCAGAGGAAAGGACTCTGCTGTGTGCTCTGCTGAGCTGGGTGTGCTGCCCAGGGCAGCCCTGCAGTGGGTGCCAGCCCTGCAGTGAGTACCAGCCCTGTGTGTGCCCCTGTGCCTGCCGGGCACCGTGTCCTCGCCCTGGCACACAGCTCTGCCCTCCGCTCCCTTTTAACTCGCAGCGTTTCAGGAGCTCTTTCTAATAGCCTGCTCTAACCCCAAGCCCCTTTGCCTCTCTCGCCTCTTGGTTGGTATTTTTGATGTTGACATTATCGATATTACCTTGATTGGTGTTTTCTCCTAACTCTGGTGTTCCCTAAACTGCTTTCTGAGTGTTTGTGGCTGGAGGGCTGTGTGGGCAGCAGTGAAAGCAGCATGGCAGTGGAGGCTGCAGGTGCCAAGTGTGAGCAAACTGACTGTAAACCCATCAGGTGTGTGCAGGGTGCTGAGGGAAAAGCTGAGCTGAAGGAGGTGGGGTTTGGGATAAAGAGAGCTTTGCAGCGAACCAGCTGAGGGCCTGGCACAGAGAGCTGGGGCTGCCCCTGATCCCTGGCAGTGCCCAAGGCCAGGCTGGGCTTGTGGCTCGAGGGAGGTGTCCCTGCCAGGGCAGGGGTGGCTGAGCTCTGAGAGCTCCTCTGCAGCCCAGGGCACTCAGGGCTGATTCTGCAGCCCAGGGTTCTGTTCAGAGCTGATTCTGCAGCCCAGGGCACTCAGGGCTGTGTTCTGCAGCCATTTCCCACCTGTGGTGCAGGTGCTGCTCTGGGGCTCACACACAGCACAGCCAGCCCTCATTAACGGTGTCTTCTTCTTTCTTCTGCTTTTCTCACTGTTGCCTCCTTTCCTCCTTTTTCCTGCTTACCCCAGAAAAACTGATTGAGGGCCTCAAATCTCCCGAGCCTGCGCTGCTGCTGCCCGAGCTGCTGCCCCTGGCTGACCCCTTCGGCAGCACGGCAGAGCCTGCCAATGGTAACTGCCCCCCTGTGCCCCCCTCTGTGCCCCCTCTGTGCCCCCCGTGCCCCCTGCATGCTCCCCCAGCTCCCAGAGCAGCCCTGGGTGCTGCTGAGCCTGAGCTGCCCTCTCCCTCTGGGGTGGGCACTGAGCAGGGGCACTCGTGGCTGCTCTGCTGATCCTTGGGGGTTCTCTTGGGAGTTCCCTCAGTTGCTGGTTGAGGGTGGCAGAAATGCCTTTATTTGTGTCAGCAGTTGGTGTCTGAGCGTGGCCCAGGCACTGAGCTGGCTGTGCCCATGGTTCCCAGCAGGATGAGGAGGCAGGGGAGGGTTCCCTGGCTGGGAGTGCTGGGGATGAAGGGGGGCAGGCAGGTCAGGGCTCTGGGGGCTGCAGAATTGGGGTTTACTTGCCAGGTTATGCAGACAGGGAGTGCAGGCTGTGCCATCGGCTGCTGCTGTGGCTGGCTGTGACCTGTGGCTCTGGCAGAAAGGAAGGACAGGACTCCTGTGACAGTAAAACTTGTTCTGCTTTGGCAGTTTCTGGCAGTTGTCTGAATTGTAATGATTGAATGCAAGGGGGCTCCAGTGGTCACTGCTTTCCTTTTGCTGGACAAGGATCTTGTGGATATTTCCTTCCTGTTCAGCTGCAGGGCAGGTGTTAGCAACCTGCTGTTGCACCCTCTGGGTATTTCAAATTGGGCTTGTACAAATCAAACAAAAGCTGAAACCAGGCTTCAAAGCCAACCAAACCCTCGAGCTGACAGTGCAGGTCAGTGAAGGATTCAGACAACTCCTGCCTCAGTTTCCTCCTTGTGCTTTTCCTTGCAAACTAAACCTGTGTGTGCTGTGCCCGCGGGAAGGCCAAGCTGCCGTGGCTGTGGAGAGCCTGATCCCGGGGCTGGAGGCGCCCCTGGCCCA